GAAAACAGACCTTTCGGCATTATAAAATGGAAGACATGGGATCGAAGAATTTCACTGACGTATCGTTGCGCATTCAAGTGTCTTTCAATATGCATCCTAACCTAACGAGTCTGTGGCGACAGCACTAGTCACACGGAACCAAATCTTCTGTCTCACGACTCTCTGTCTACTCCGATGGTAACACAGATAGCAGTGACATTATTCTAGCTACTGTGGTGGTGGTCGTGGTATTAGTTGTACTGGTACTTGAAGGATGATGTGGTAAATATTACACTAGCCCCATTCACTACCTATTACAATTCCTGCTCCCCATTTTAGTCTGGATGGACAGGGATGTCAATGTAAGTTACAGCAACAACAAAAATATCGCCAGGTAATGATTTGCAAATCCTTCGAAGAGGGAGAGAGCAGTAGTCGGTGGAAGAGGGAGAAGGGGGGGGGGGGGGGTAGTGACTTAAATTTAAGAGAACTTAAAGAGCTTTACACGTGATTTTCAAGTTTTCATTACCTAATTTGTTTATATTTTACTAACGCTACCTCCGCTCTTCTATTTTTTACGACTTACTTTGTTAATTACAAGTACAGTTGTAGCTTTACTTCAGTCTCCTATAAAAATACAAACAGTTTTAGCATGTGATAACCAAATAACCATTTTTGTTACTGTGCTAATAACACCATTTGAACGACCACTAATATAAAGACACAATTATAAGCTGAGTGTTCTAAAGTTGGAAAACCAGACTATCTCTATATCTGTGCAGAGAATGATTGCGGCATTAGCCAAATTAGATACGTGTGATTTCCATTGTCTTTCTTTTCCAAAACCCTTTGATGAGGGAGAGAGTAGTAGGTAGATTTAGTTGTGGTGGTAAGAGGGGGGGGGGGGCGGGGATCAAAGACTATCTCTATATCTGAGCAGACAATGATTGTATTAGACACGTGCAATTTCTATTTTCTTTCATTTCCATTTAGCCAAACTATGCCACAGCAACGCGTGGCCGGGTACAGCTAATATATATAAACCTCTAAAACTCTTTAAAAAAGAGAATAAAACAGCTATGGAACTTACATATTACAGAAACAAATTTTAGAATAACACCGAACAAGAAGCAGAAACGCTGACAGCTACAAGATCACAATATCGAAGGCTATCACTATAGGCACCATAAAGTCTTAGAGAGAGATCTGTGGTCTTGAATGACATTCCATATGCTTGGACAAGACAGATCGACTTTTATTCAGGGTGCAACTGCCACCATCAATATTGGATAGTGCACGCGTGGAAATACCTAGAATGTTGTAAACTTTCCATCTTTCTCAACGATCATCTTATGTTATGCCAAATGAGGGCACTTGAAACATAGTCCATATTTTATCGGTAGGTGCTTTGCTGTGGAAACAATATCGTCAAATTCAACGAACATTCCGGAAGGTGGAGCTTTAGGTTATAATTGTGACTAGGTTATGTGCGCCACATCAAATGGCTTAGCATTGCAGGCCACCAAGAGCCCTGACAAAGACACCTGCGGTGTTGATAAATCAAAGGAGACAGACAACAATACTGTCGAAGTCGTCTAACGGCGAGCCATTCAGCGAACTAGTCGCTGATGTAGAGTCCCTGGTAATGGTAAGTGTGACTATAATTGTACACGGCTTGGGCACTTTTGTAGAGTCCATGTGTTGCATGCAGTAAGATAACTCTCTGCCTACCTTGTTTACTAAAAAAAAAAAAAAAAAGTAACACCAATACGTTTTGAATAAAGCGTGCTGAAGAAATTGCCGGGTCGGAGGAGAAGTTCTCTGTATTGCTTCTTGTCGTGGCCTCCTTCTCAGACTTGCTGCCAACCAAGGCTAATGTTTGATTTGCTTTTCATCCAGATAATGGCAGTGGTTTTTTTTTTTATTGGGTTGGGGGAGGGGGGGGGGGGGGTTACTTATTCATAGGGCTTTCTAGTAGATTTTGATGATTTTGACAAAGAACCCTAATCCCCAGTATGGCGGATAGGCTGCCTTACTTTCTTTTAATCATGGCAAGTTGTGTGCTCTGTCCAAGGTTAGCCCTTGCATTTTTTCATATATGAACTGAAAGTATACAGCAAGGTCTCAGAGTTATTGAGGTGAGTGCTTGACGCAACACTGTGAGCTGAGGGTTTATTTGAAATGATTTTCTATTTTGTCAAAGGTGGTTTGCATTGTGAACTGTACAGATTTAGAGAATGGCGAGTGGCCCGATGCCACAAAACAAGGAGCGCTTTATGCGTATAATTGCGTGTGCAACTACTGATTTGTTGTAACTGCTGCTTACACCGATGATAAAATGCAGTTCTAGTACTAGGTTGTCTTGTCCATTCCAACTGCTTCCGTATGGTTTCATTGTGTGTGCAGATGATCGGCTTTACATAAACTGCAGTGTGTGTCTGGCTGTTTTCTTTTTCACAAAATATATCGATGGTTATTCTCTGTGGTTTTCATTGGCACAGGAATGAAGCAACAGTGGTGTGGCCCTTTTATTTCTTTGTTGAAAATTATTTAAATAGAAACATTAGATTCTGTTTGTGTGTGTGTGTGTGTGTGTGTGTGTGTGTGTGTGTGTGTGTGTGTGTGTGTGTGTGTGTCTGTCATGTCGCCCATTCCCACTTTACTGATTTACACAAGTCACTTCTATTTTTCCAAGACATTTTCGTTTACACGTGTTAGGTTTGTCTGAATTAGGACCCAGTTATAATTATAAAGATTCTGCTGCAGAGTGGACTCGAGCCCAAGACCTATAGGCTGGCAAGCCTTGGTTATTCGGGTATTTTATAAATAAATAAATAAATAAATAAATAAATAAATATAGTTGTTATATATATATATATATATATATATATATATATATATATATATATATATATATATATATATATAATATATATAAATTATAATTAGGTCCTATTTCCGTCAAACCTAACACGTGTGTACGAAAATGTCTTGGGAAAATAGAAGTGATTGGTGTAAATAAATCACAAATGGTGCGTTGATGCTTCTGGGGAACTGCAGGTCTAGACTCATATGTCACATGCCCACTGACGTGAAAGAGGTCTTAACCTACGTACTTCACTTATCATGTTCAGATATTCCAGAAAGTAACAACCGTCTCGAACCATTCACCCCCCAAAACCTCTAGAGGTACTATTAACACCGCAAACATCCCCAAGGTTCCAACTTCCGGTAACTGTTCCATTTACCCCTCACGCGCCATGGGACAATTTTCACATTGGCTACCAAGTCCCCGAGAACCGAGTCAACGATTTCTTGAGTCGATAGCAATTTCCACAGAACCGATTGCTTTCTTTGTTACTGGCATGTTACAAGATTAAGGTGCTGTGCCCAGTTTGTCTGGGCTCACTTAAGACGGGAAATGAAAGTTGACAATGGTTTAATGAAAAGATATACATCTATTATTTGGGCCAATGATCTTAGGTAACCGAGGGAATTAAACATATACATAATTGTATCTTTTCGACTTGCTGTAGTGTCCCAGCTATTTATGCAAATGTAACTGATTTGATCTGATAAAATGGAATGTTCTGTCTCGTAACACCAAGAATACAGTACATAACACACAGATTAACAGAACAGTAAATAATGTTGGCACTTTTACATCCTATCAGACGACAGTTTTTCGATAGATCTATAGAAATGTTTGGATATCCACAGCCAATGGCAATGGCGAATGTGACTAGTACGAGCTGTGTTCATTACAAAAATCGCCTACAAGAAGTACAGCATATTAAAGAACTGTTGTTTCCATCACATATATTTTATCTGCTTCTTCTCACACGCGAAGCATTCTGCAGTCCTTCTCTTTTATGCCCATATTGTCTTCATAATTTCCCCCACTGTGGAATGTGATCTTTGACACCCTGTTCCTAATAATCCACCTGTATCATGTATGTCCAGCCTGCAAACATCGTTTAGTCGTAGTAAAGGCCTACTCTTGTCCCCATCTGCACTTCATCACTAAGGATGCCCTTAGGTTCTCCTTCACCCTCCGAGTATACCTCGGCGTTGGATATTACAGGTAGACAAACATTGTATGAGCAATAGAGCTGACTGGGCGTAGGCACCTAGGTATCCCCAGAAGATGGTGGCAAGAAAATATTCAGGCAGACCTACAAACAAATCACCAACAGGAGGAGAGAACACCATTCACAGAGATGACTGGAGACATTTGATATCTGCAGTAAAAAACTTCAACAGCTGGAAAGGCTGATGAAGAAGAAGAAAAAAAATGTAAATAAAAGAATAATAATAAAACAACAACATTGTTTAGGTTTCCCGTGCTTATGTGAAGGTGTACTTTTCAAGACAGATTATGAGCAGTTACATAGAAGATGAAATCATCATGGTCGTATGTTTGCTTTCATTATAGGTACGATACACAAGAAATCAGGAGAGGTGAGAGAGAGAGAGAGAGAGAGAGAGAGAGAGAGAGAGAGAGAGAGAGAGAGGAGAGACAGTGAGAGTGTGTGTGTGTGTGTGTGTGTGTGTGTGAGAGAGAGAGAGAGAGAGAGAGAGAGAGAGAGAGAGAGAGAGAGAGAGAGAGAGAGAGAGAGAGAGAGAAAGCCATTCTTCGTAAACTTAATTTTTACAGAAGAACAACTGGAATGGCTCGACGATCTGTCGAAAGTACTCCGGTACAAGCTATAGTGACCACCGAATAGGGGAACCCACTCTAATATGTGTGGAAGGAAATTCCCTAGGAAATAAATTCTTCTTCTTCTTCTTCTTCTTCTTCTTCTTCTTCTTCTTCTTCTTCTTCTTCTTCTTCTTCTTCTTCTTCTTCTTCTTCTTCTTCTTCTTCTTCTTCTTCTTCTTCTTCTTCTTCTTCTATTTCTCTTTATTTCAGCATTTTTGCTTCTAGAAATAATATACATGAATGAATTTAATTGCAGAATGACGTCATATAAGAGGTGATTTAGTCAAGCCCTCCAATACCCACCATTCAGATCTTCTCAATGGATGTGGATACCTACCTCGTACTGGTGTACTGGCACGTCGCTATGGTAACGCTGCAATCATTATTTGCACAGGGACACAAAACACTTGTTATGACTGACAAAGGCCAGGTTCAAGGCAAAACCTACTATGTTCACGGGAAAAAGGTGGATGTCTTTTACGGGATCCCCTACGCGAAACCACCATTAGGTAAGTTCTATCTATCTATCTAATCTAATCTATCTATCTATCTATCTATCTATCTATCTATCTATCTATCTATCTATCTATCTATCTATCTATCTATCTATCTATCTATCTATCTATCTATCTATCTATCTATCTATCTATCTATCTATCTATCTATCTATCTATCTATCTATCTATCTATCTATCTATCTATCTATCTATCTATCTATCTATCTATCTAATCTATCTATCTATCTATCTATCTATCTATCTATCTATCTATCTATCTATCTATCTATCTATCTATCTATCTATCTATCTATCTATCTATCTATCTATCTATCTATCTATCTATCTATATCTATCTATCTATCTATCTATCTATCTATCTATCTATCTATCTATCTATCTATCTATCTATCTATCTATCTATCTATCTATCTATCTATCTGTCTGTCTGTCTGTCTGTCTGTCTGTCTGTCTGTCTGTCTGTCTGTCTGTCTGTCTGTCTGTCTGTCTGTCCGTCCGTCCGTCCGTCCGTCCGTCCGTCCGTCCGTCCGTCCGTCCGTCCGTCCGTCCGTCCGTCCGTCCGTCCGTCCGTCCGTCCGTCCGTCCGTCCGTCCGTCTGTCTGTCTGTCTGTCTGTCTGTCTGTCTGTCTGTCTGTCTGTCTGTCTGTCTGTCTGTCTGTCTGTCTGTCTGTCTGTCTCGAAATCCGCCCATTCATCGTGTGACAGGAGACGAAAGCAAAGACAACAGCCGAGACTTCTGACAAAGGACATCGGTGGGAGAAGATGCTGGTTGGTCAGCATGCATGTGGTGGATAGATGACAACAGCAAGTCGAAGAACCCACACAAATTAAGGTTGATTGGGGAGCTATGATATTCTGTGTCGCCATCTTTCTTCATTCTTCTACCAGTTGAGGCTATGAATGATATGCATCTGAGTTTAACAGCTGATAATTGGCCGAGTTAAGACGCGCTGGATTGCTTGTTACGCTGTGATATTATGATGTCTTAGGCTCTCGGTGACTCTTTCTGTACATTGTCTCCTAGGTCCCTTTTCTCTCTCTCTCTCTCTCTCTCTCTCTCTCTCTCTCTCTCTCTCTCTCTCTCTCTCCTCTCTCTCACTCTCACTCTCTATTTATCTCTCTCTCTCTCCCTCTCTCTCTCTCTTTGTCTCTCTCTCTCTGCATCTTCTTGTTTCATTTTTCATGTTATACGCCTTTGCTGCCTGCAGCTTTGGATCTATTCTCACTAGAAGGTTGAACCATTTCAGTTTTTCTTTCTCGCTGAACTCAATCATGGAAGTTGTTCCAATCGTGCTTATAATATAATTATTTCTCACGTGATCAAGATCAGTGGCATTCATGTTGTTAGTTTTGTTCCCTTCCTTTAAGCGTGTACAGGTTGTAAACTCTGACAAAAAGATCTATTGTTCCCTTCCTTTAAGCATGTACAGGTTGTAAACTCCAACAAAAAGATCTTTTGTTCTCTTTCTTTAAGCATAAATAGGTTGTAAACTCCAAAAAAAAGATCTATTGTTCCCTTCCTTTAAGCATGTACAGGTTGTAAACTCCGACAAAAAGATCTTTTGTTCTCTTCCTTTAAGCATATACAGGTTGTAAACTCCGACAAAAAGATCTATTGTTCCCTTCCTTTAACAGCATGTACAGGTTGTAAACTCCGACAAAAAGATCTTTTGTTCGCCAATTCTGGACTTTGATCTTGTCCCAGAACTTGAGTTTTGCCTGCACGTTCATTGTTCGTATCTGGCTTGTTTGAATGTCGACGTTTATACTGTTGGCTAAAAACAGATGCACTCCGACTTCGAAGAAACACGTCTAATTCGTCGCCCTGTATGATATGCTTTTGTTTTCTCGGGAAACTCCAGGGACCCCCCGAGGGAAGAAGGGGTTTTCTATCCAATGTTATATTTTGTATTCAGTGTTATGATTTGGATCCAAGCGTTTTGTTTTGGTATCAGATCACAACAGGTCACATAGCTTTTCCAACAGGTGACTTGAGGTTCCTGCATCCAGAACAACTAGACCCTTGGCCGGGTGTGTTGGACGCCACCAAGAAACCCAACTGCTGCATACAGCTACCGGACACTGTGTTTGGAAACTTCAGTGGATCCAGTGTCTGGAACCCCAACACAAAGGTCAGGTCAAGTCTATGCCATAGTGCTCGTTGCTACGTGTATAGTCTGTATGTCTCAAGCACTTGCTACTACAATAGTTGTCATCCTACAGTGTGTGTAACTGGTGTCAGCACTGTAGTATTAATGATCTTACAATTAGCTATGAGACAGTAGCATACACAATAACATTCAAGATAGAACTGATTAATGTTACATACATAAGAGTAGAAAAGAATGCATTTTTCTTCTTCGTGTACCTCTTTGCCTTTCCCGGCTGTAACCTGTTCATCTATTTTTTTACTTTGGTCTTGATCCAGAATTTGAGTTCTGCGTACACATCTGGCTTATTTATGTTGTAATGGGGGATATTTTCACCCAGATTAGGAAGCTAACCCAAACACCGAGATATTCCAGATACTCGGATTATACGAGGTTTTCAAGATAGGTGATGACCACGAGTTATAACGTGAAACACGTTGACCCGACCACAGGTCGCCACGTTGAAGTAAAGGACCACCACGTGTTGCCACGTGAAACTAACCCGTGGTATAGAATCAGACTCCATTCTGATCAAGTAGTATGTGTTGAACTTTGGAGCGAAAGGACGGGGGACTGAGCGTAAGAATGTCAACGTGAGATTGCTTGTGGTGAAAGGAGAACCAGACGACGACGTTGAAGCCAAGACCAGCCAGGCCAGTCTGTGTAATGTCTAGAAGATCAACCAGATACATCGGTGCGGACTCTGGTCAGTGACTGCGTGAGGAAACTGATTGTTGAAGTCTGTGTGTTGTGGTGTGCGAAAGCTGTTTCGTAGGACAACGACTGGACGCTGTTGTAAGTTGCAATATGTCAATAAACTGATGTTTCGTACGGCCAAGTCGGTGTCGGCTTGTAGCAGTTATGTCAACGTAGAATGTGTGATAAGAACATTCACGACACACAAATAACATCCTCTAAACGAGTCAGCTCGTTGCATATGTGGATAATGTGGGTACCTTGCCTTTCAGACAGATGAACTACAATTTTTAAGGATACATCTCGAATTAGTCGCCTCCTACGACGTGCTTGTTAATTGAATGGGTGATTAAGAAACATATAATGTTATTTGATTCTGAAAAAATGAATTATAAGTTAACAGCTCATTATCCCAGGTCTGAGTATTTGCCAATTGGCGACTAATTCTCTTGTCTAATGTTATCCTTTTCAAGACCTATCACACCCAAGTTCTGAGCATTTGCGAGTGAGGCGACTAATTCTCAGGTATGATCTGTTTTCGATTTTAAGACTTATTATCCCAGGTCTGAGCATTTGCGAGTGTGGCGACTAATTCTCTGATGTGATCTGTTATCGATTTTAAGACTTATTATCCCAGGTCTGAGCATTTGCCAGTGTGGCGACTAATTCTCTGTGATCTGTTATCGATTTTAAGACTTATTTTCCCTGGTCTAAGCATTTGCTTAGATATCTGTTTAAGATATATTTGTGTCTCCTTTCTAAAGATCTTTCCATTCATCTGTTTTTTCCCTTTTTCTTTATATCCAGTTTGTATTCAAAGTCAAAGTCAGGAGGATGGACTTAATTAAATTAACTTAATTAAATTGGTTTGAATCCTATTAGACTCGACCTGCCGCCTGTCGAGAGCGTTCTATAAAGCACGTGCTCAGTGGCTCTGACGACGTTCTTTAATCAGAACTGCACTCCACGGCCACACCCCCTCCGCCTCCCATAGCACCCAAAAAATGTAAACAATCACTGCTAATATTATAGCACATTCCCCCCCCCCCCCCCTGTCTACCTGCCTAATAGTGTTACATGCGCCAATAATGATTTTATTGTTAGCTTTGGTAGTATCTTTCATTTGCCGTTACATGAATAAAACACTTCGTAGCCCCAGTGATGATCCCCGGAGAACTATCTATTGATTGCACATAACAGAACCATTTCAGAACGGCTTGAGGCCAAAACCTTCCTTTTTCATCTCTCCATTGACCCTATGAATTTCAGTAGTAAGTCCTAGTTGTTCGTGAATTTTAGGACTTTTTGACTTGTTCCAAGCCTGGAGTGTTGCATGTACAGATTTAGCTTATTTGTGTCCAGACTTTTGGTTTCTTACTTCTTAGTCAGCTTGTCGGATGACAGCGGAGAGATGTAGATTGTCTGGATCAGCACCAGCCCTGGTCACACCACCAGGTGTTATTTACCCCTTTTGCACCCCAAGCCCAAAGTTATTAGTATTTTCGTCGTGGAATGTCCATCTTGAACTGTTGCAGGTTAGCGAAGATTGCTTGTACCTCAGCGTGTGGACGCCCAGGACGCACCCGCCCTACACCAACAAGGCTGTCATCGTCTGGGTCTACGGCGGCGCTTTCATGACCGGCTCATCAGTGCTGGACATCTACGACGGAAAGTACCTTGCTACAGAGAATGACATTGTTGTTGTCTCTATGCAATTCAGGTACGTATGAACATTGCCATTTTAGAACAGATATGCAGACTTTGTCATTTTAAAACTGATTTAATACTGTCATATTACTTTATTGAATATTCACTTGAGAATCACCTTCGCCAAACTAACAAAGGTCGTTCCCATCTGGGACGTAATTTTTTGAAGCCCCACTCTAGCTTTTGCCAGGGGCCGCAATATAGCCTGAAGGCTGAACTCGGTTTCTCGGACCTCTCTACGTGTGATCCTCATCCGCATGGTGGCACCTTGTGTCACCGGATGTTTATCACTCTGTGTGATGTTCTGGTGAGGTAAAATTTACTGACTTACTTACCTTCACTGCTAACGGGTATACCAGTGAGTGATCCGATCTTTTTCTTCAACACGTGTCATAGTGTGTATTTGTGTCGAAGGCTCCTGTTGTGTACCTGGCGTTGCGAAGGTTTTCACGCCGCTTGCTCCAGTTGATACATCAAGACTTCGCTTTGGCATCAGAGAGAGATTTTTGTCCTTGTCTTAGTGGTTTTCAACACGTGTTGTCTCTTGTATAGCAGTTTGTATTGTATATGATCATTATCATCATCATCACCTTTCGTGTGCCGTTTGACGTCACATAGGACTCGAATTCGATTCCTCGTCTGTGCTGTATTTTGTGTAGTTCTCTCGAGTTCTGACATGGAGTTCAGCCCAACATTTTTAGCTTCTAGTAATAATCTTCTTCTTAATGTTGTCCTTGGACATCGTCGTCTCTATATTATGCAAGGCACACACAAGTATTAGCTCTTACAGTAAATTAGCTCCCAAAAAATGTAAAGTAAAGATCCCTTTTCACGCCTTTAGGCGCATAGGGCACATGGGAAGAGCACCCACATTTTTTCAGACCAATCGGCACTAGGTGGGTAATCTGGTCAGCATTACGCTGGCCGTCTTTACTTCCCTATGACATACCACTCTGATACCCGCTTTAGACTGGGTCGACCGCGGTACGTTGGAATTACGAGTTGGACTCGCAACGCCTAAGCCACTGACGCCGCTAAATTAGCTCAAGATGGAGAATAACTGGAGACGGAGACTTTGAGACGGAACAGGACAAGAGTGACAATCTGTGATAGAAGTTTAGCGTGCATGTTTTACTACTCTATGATACAGAGTAGTTGAATATATCTCTGATGTAGTGTTTCTGTTTCCCTCTGGTTTTAGATTTGGCGCGCTCGGCTACTTTGTGCTAGGATCTCCTCATTCGCCTGGTAACGCTGGCATGATGGATTTGCGGATGGCTCTGGAATGGATACAGAGAAACATTCACTACTTTGGAGGAAATCCACACAACATCACTTTGGTGGGCGAGAGTTCGGGAGCCGTCAGCATTGGCCTGTTCATGCTGTCATCCTTGGGTAAAACGAGTATAAGCGAGGGTGACAATTAGCGAGAGAGAGAGAGAGAGAGAGAGAGAGAGAGAGAAAGAGAGAGAGAGAGAGAGAGAGAGAGAGAGAAGGGAGATGGAGAGAGATTGGGATAAGGAAATATATATATATATAATTGAGAATGAGACCGTATATGGAGAGAGAATGAAAGATAAGGTGAATAAAGAGAAGCATCGGAAGAAAGAAAGAATTAGTTGTCACGAGTACACAATTTTTTGAAAAATATTATTATGAATGCTTTGAGAAATTTCAAGAGAGGTAAAGGCTGTCGATGTTATATTAACAGCATCACCAACCTACCTCCGATTGGTTAAAAAAAAAAAAAAAAAATATATATATATATATATATATATATATATATATATATATATATATATATGTGTGTGTGTGTGTGAGGTAATTCTACAGCCCCATGCGCTTCAAGCAGTGGCAGTACTTTATATAGCTTTTATTATTTTGAATGAGTTGAGTTATATTGAAAAATGCAGTGTCATTCACAGATATGAATGACGTTTGTACTGGAGGCAGGAATATGTAAGTGGGTATTATGTAAATAAAAATATTACGTAGTTTGTAAAGCTATGAGTATGTATCCGAAAACTTTGATTTGCATAACAGAAGCATGGGGTACGCTGCCCATCAGAAGTGTTTCTTGTTACAGTTGCTTCTTAACTCTTAGAACGTCATAGAAAACATAACCAGGTTGTGGCTGGCAGGTATACTGCTCTTCTGTGTTACATATTAATAGTCAATAGACTACAAGTCCAGTAAATACAAGTCTCCGTTTCAAACCACTGGTCATCTTTTTACTCTGGATTGATCAGGCAGCCCACCGTGGCTGCCGGTGTAGATACAGTTATATCTTTACTGAACCTCTTCTTTACTACCTTCTATTCCCAAATGGAGCTTAGGCCCTTAACAAACTCACGGCAAATCATTCCATCTTTCACTGTTGCACGCAGCCCACCCTATCACCCGACCAGCCACCTGTTTTTAACTTCACTCTCTTGCACCCTTCTCCGTGTGTTTTTGGTCTGTCGTTATTTCTTTGCCTCTGTGGGTTCTAGTGTCAAGGCATTATAGTTAAATTGTTCTCGGGTTTTCCCAACGTGTGTCCTATTCAACTTTGTTCTTTTAACTTTTCCCATACAGCTTTACATTAGTGATTCTATCATACCATTTAATTTCCTAAATCCTGCGATGTTAAGTGTTGTGCAAGTTTTAATTTCTTTTGACCTCGCAAATATTCTAGGCTATAGAAGCCTGTATTGCCATTTATATTTATTTTTTACTATCTCTATCTGTTCCTCCATATTTATTATCTATATTACTGCTCAAATAGGCTTATGACTTCATATCTTGGAGTTTGATATCATTTAGATAATCCAAATTACTCTTTGCCTGGTTTATTCTCATCATCGTTGAATTCCCGTATCGCTGTTTAGGCTATTGTAATCTTTAACTGTTACTTTGTACAAATGATGTAGATTTAAATGGGATGATTTAAAAAAAAATAGGAAGAAACACAAAAACTTGAGCAAAGGTGTGTTTGAAAAGTTCAAAAGCTTCAAAAGAAGGCAATAAATTGAGCACACAATGAGGGAAAGGAGACAGAGAATCACTCAACAGGCACTGGTATGGGAAACAAGTAGACTGAGGAAACGGAAGCACCCAAAGAAAACACCAAGAAGAAAGTTGCTGAGAGAGGCCAAAGCTTCTGGACTGGCATCTCTCCGTGAATTCGAAAAGATTGCATAGGACAGACGGAGACGTATAAGGTGATTATAAAGGATGATGTTGTTGTGTAGCTTATTTCGTCTACAATGTGATGCACTTAAAGGGGCACCTACAAATGCTAGCAACGCTACTATCGACTCCTTAAACCACGTTTTGAATTCCATGATGTATTGCAAAGTATAGTGTCCAGTCAAAGCTATTTTTAGACTGACCGAGTTCAACCCCACTAGAATCGAACACCCAGCGATAAACACCTGGTGACACAAAGTACCACTATACGGTTGAGAATCACCAGTGCACAAGTCCCAGAAACCCTGTTCAACCGTTAGGTTATATTAGGACAACGACTACAGCCGAGGTGGGGTTTTTAAGTTGAAAAAAAAAAAAAGAAATTGCGTTCCGTACTGGAGCCAGAAGTTAGCTGTTTTTAATTTTATTTTAGGAGCCACTTCTGTTTATAGGTGATGTTGTATGAGGGTGGTAGTGACGTCTGTCCCCGATTTTCTCATTCGTGAACTTTCAGTCACTTTTGATATTCCGAGCAGAAATGTCTTTTATGAGAAGAATGCAAAGCATATCTTGTAATGATAACAGAGCTAACGAGGCATTTATTCTCGACGCAGACGAAAAATGAGCAATAATTATAACAATTGGACGAGGACGGTCAATATAATTCAGACATTTAATGTGAATGAACAAACTCGACAACCTGGTGGCATCTGGCAAACTACAAAAGACGACAAAGACAGAACCCGAATAGCCTGGCTATTTGGATCGGGCGAACACATAAGTACTGACCTGATCTCTGATTCTGGAGATCGTGTGGAGTGACGTACCATGCTCGCCTACGTTCACCAGCATAGCGGAATAATATAAATAATAATAATAATACTCTGCAATCCTGAGGGGTAATATGATAAATAGATGAAGACATCGCTTGATTACCAAAAAAAAAAAAAAAAAAAAAAAAAAAAATTACATGTTAAATTCAATTATGTCGTAGGAGGCGACTAATTTCAGTGTTTTCTTTGAAGTCGGTGTGCATCTGACAGAGGCACAAAACCAACAGTCTGCATACAAATAAATGAGATCTTGAAAACGGATAGGCATGGAAAACTCAATTTCTGGAAAAAAGAGTTAAGTTCCTAAGTGGTCGGAAACCCACAACTTTTCGCTGGAGTTTATCGCATCTCAATGCTAAGGAAAACAAAAAAACTCAATGTTTTCAGATTCCCGTTATGTTCTGTGCTCTTTTTTTTTCCTACTCAACCTTGCTCAAATTTCCAGGACGTGGCCTCTTCCATCGAGCTATCCTACAGAGCGGAGCACCTCAAGCACCTTGGGGAACCTACACGCTTCAAGAAGGGAGAAGGCGCTCTTTGGTCCTGGCAGAACTCCTTGGCTGCGACCCCAAGGCCAGCGACAGGATTATTCTACAATGTCTTCGTAAAGTTCCTGCTATGAGGTTCCCGGAAGAAGAGATTCGCGTGGTTGAAGGTGTGGCCCAGTTCCCGTTCATTCCAGTCATAGACGGGACGTTTCTGATCAGAACTCCCAGTCAGTACCTGCGGGAGGGGCATTTCAAGAAGATTCCGCTCCTCCTTGGTAGCAATGCTAACGAGGGATCATGGCTGCTGGTATATGCTGAACCTGCATACTTCAACATCAACACTCCGAGCCTCGTTAGCAAGGAGAGCTACAACATCGTTATGGATAAGCTGTTTAGATACTACCCCCAGTATCCAAACGAGTTGAACCACTTAGGCAAGGAGGCTATTAAGTTCCAGTACACAGATTGGCTGGACCCTTATAATCAAAGCCGTTTGAGAACAAACGTTGAACAGGCAGTTGGTGACTATCATTTTACTTGCGGTGTTGCGGATATGGCCAAAACTGTCTCTGAGCATGGTCTGGATGTGTACTTTTATAGGTCAGTAGTACGATGGTGGTGTTTTCTGTGTCTGTTCATTTTTTGATGTTTAAATGTTTCCGACATGTTGGTTCATCTGTTTATCTATTCTTTCACCATTACTTCACTTCTAAAGGCTGTAGTCTTGATTTCGAACTTTGTTTTTCTTTTCCAAGTGTAGGTATTTCAGAGATCCCTGAAAGTCGTGGCAAACACTATTGAGTTTCTTGCTGTGTAATAAGCTAGCTCTTGATTGGTCAACAGTTTCATTATGGAGACAGACGGAACTATAAAGGGTAGAACTCGAGGGAATTTTGTTGGTCCTTTCTTCTCTGAACACGTTTTTTGTTTGTTCTCATTTACATCCATTAAATTTCTCAACGGACTTCCATCCTATATGATGCTTGCTAGGTGACCTGCCTATTGTCAGTTGTTTCACTGCTGTAATGTATATATTGGTTTTATATGAATTTGTAGGTAAAACATAAGAATCGTCACACTGACCAATGGGATGTTTACTACGTCTGTAGGTTAAACATAAGAATAGTTACACTGACAAATGGGATGATTGTTACATTTGTTGGTTAAACATAAGAATATTTACACTGACAAATGGAATATTTATTACATATGTAGGTTACACAAAAGAATAGTTACAATGACAAATGGGATGCTTATTACATTTGTATGTTAAACATAAAAATCGTTACACTAACAAATGGGATGCTTATTAAATTTGTAGGTTAAACATAAGAATCGTTACACTGACAAGTGGGAGCTTAGTACATGTGTAGGTCAAACATAAGAATCGATACATTGATAAATGGGAGTTTACTCTAAAGTACTAATGAAACAAAATTTAGGAAAACTGAGTCCAAAGAGAATACGATGACTTCACTTAGAGGACATCGTTTAGAGATGGATAGGAAAGGCATGTCTCAAGTTAAAAATATCCTAATAATATGAACAACACACGAAAGAACAAATAAAAAGGTATTAATTTTACAAGAATCAGAGATTGACTTTCAAATAACATTGCCAGCTTCAGTGCTGAATTTAACATGTAATTTTTTTTTTTTTTTTTTTGTAATCAACGAGGGGAGGGGAAAAGGAGGGGTGGGGGGGGGGGTAGGTTAGAGATAGAGATAGATAGAAAGAAGACAGTGTCATGGACATGACAGGACATTTCATGCCTTGGTGATACATCTAGAATCAATGTTAGACGAGAAAGGACATTTTGTACTTCGGTAATATGAAAGACTCCAAAGACAGATATGAAAGAAAATTTCATTCTTTAAAAGTATGATACAAATCAGAGATGGACATGAAGAGACATTTCCCTCTTCTGTATTTCTAGAATCATATATGTGCAGAGAGGAACCTTCCATACTTTAGTAATATGATAGAATCATAGAAGGACATCAAAGGACAGTTCGTACTTCAATAATATGAAAGACCGCAACGCGTGACTCTTGCTAAGGTTAATGCGATTTACAGCCCTCGATGTACCAGGGCTCAATTTTCGCGGCAGACAGCTGGGTGAAAGACAGTTCTCCTGACGTTCATAGACTGGTACAAGAGTCCATTCTTGGAAAAGACTGGTGTATCACCCGGCGACAATAAAAAACACTTCAGTGAAACCACTGCAGCCAGCTTACATTGTCTGAGATAGCACACGCAATGACAAGAACTTAACATGAACATGAAAATCCCTCATGAAAATAAAAGCCAGATGTGGTACCACAATTATAACCAAAGCTTTACGAGAAGCGGCTGAATATAAAATGAAATTAGCACTTCAATACTGTAATCCAGAAGATTTTGTTATCCTCTGCCTTATAACCTCCAATGAAGCACAGGCCCTCAACCAACTCACGCCGAGTCGTTCTATCCTCCGCAATCGCATGCAGATCTCTCATGTCCTCCTATGTTTAACTTCGCTGTCTAGCTCTATTCTCCAAGTATGTTTTGCTCTTCATTTATCTTTTCTATGCCCTTTGGGCTGCCGTGCAAAGACAATCTAGTTACATTGTTTCAAGTTTTTCTTAACGTGTGTCCTATCCAACGCGAGAATTTATTTTTTCTTTCAGTTTGAACTTATTAAGTATTCTACCAAGCTCTACATTAGTGATTCTACCATACCATTTGATTCTCCTTGTTCAGCACAGGCACCAGTTAATAAATGTTTGTAGTTTATTGGTAATCGTTTTAGTTGGTCTCAATGTTTCCGCTCCATGCAACAGGGTTGACTTTAGAATTTAAAATATCACAAAGACAGTTTGAAACTTCAGCACTATGACACAAGGATGAGCTAGTTTATGATAAAGAGAACATAGTATAAGCACTTCAGGATCAAGCGCGCAGTGCAACGCAGAAGGTAGTGCACCCAAGCCTTGGAAAAACGGATTCTGTGGTGAGTAATCAGAGGACCTGGACGGTTCTTGGTACGCTGGGCAAAGGGAACGCGGAATTGTAACCAAATTACACCTGACACAAGAGTGGTGGCCCTGGCCTAGTGGCTAGACGCTCGCCTGCGAAATAAAATGTCCCTGGTGGAGCCGGACTATTTTCAAAAATGACCTTGATTCCCAGGTTGACCCAGCCTTGAGTGGGTACCCAGTGCAGTCATAGGAAGTAAAGGCGGTCGGTGTGAACTCATCCATCACCCATCTTGTGCCGATTGGTCTATAAAAATATAGGTCTAGCCCTATATGCCCTATAGTCTAAAGGCGTGGAAAAGGAACCTCTACCTTTACTTACAACTGATACAGCCATACTTAAAACTCTCTGTTTGTTACTGAAAAACGTGATACAGCATGTGTAGGAATGCCTTGAGTGCATAGTTCATTCATTGATTAATTTAGTCTTTGCCGAGGTTTAGATTAGTCTGTCATTTTATAACATATGACTCATTTTATCTGGGATTTTCCCCTGCTTTAATTTGTGCAGGTTCAGCCATCGGATGTCAACTCATTCTTGGCCAGAATGGATGGGCGTCTTGCACGGGGATGAAATTTTCTTTGTATTTGGCCAACCGCTTAACAAGGAAATGAATTTCACAGGAGATGAGAAAAAACTGAGCAAAAAGATCATGAAAATGTGGACAAATTTTGCCAAAACTGGGTAAGTTGCTTGGTCGTACAGAAACTGGCTTTCTGCAGGTTCCTCCACACCCCACCCCCCCCCACTCCCCACCAAACCCCTTATGTGTTTTCTTCTTCTTCGCCTTCACCTACCGTAAATCCGACAGAAAGTTCTGGCTGTTCGTCCACCTTTGGACTTAGGACCTGTTCCAGAACCTGATTGTTGCGTGCACATCCGGTTTATAGATCTCAGTTAATTGTATGTAGACTGTTGCTTCCTTGCCAGTCAGGCAGATGCACCCCGTCTTCGAAGGAAACCCCTAATTAGTTGGCTCTTACGACCTGTTTGTTGGAGAGGCAGTCGGTCTATTCTTGTTCTCTCCACAATGAGATCCCGTAATCCACACGGGGAGCCCTGTTATATTTGATAATAGTAGGCTATATCTGTGACTGCAGAGTTGTTTCTGTACAAGACCAAATATATAATTATTGACCATTTCTCTTAGGACCTCCTCTATTGGAAGATAAGTTCTTACAACCTTACGCTAATCCCTGCTATATTTTGACATAGCATGCAGTCCTGTTTTCCACTTATTATTCATACTTTTTTTTTTTTAATTTCCTGTCTCCATACGCTCAAGGTTACAGCCTGTCTCTTTTTGCCTTGTGCGTTTATTGCAAGGACATTATAATATTTCACCGCTTCCCATCTGAAAGTGTCCTACCCATCGATCGCGTCTTGTTTATGCACACTGACAGAGCTGGATTTGTTTGGTTCGCTCATTAAGCTCGACCCTGGTGATTATAACCTACCAATCATTTCCATCTTCTCTGCACAAACAATAGTTAACGAATGTTTGTAGATTATTAGCAAATACTTGGTCTTTCTTCACGCTTCTGCGCCATGCATCAGAGCTGATCTAACATTACTGTTAAATATTCCATGCTTGGTTTTATGTTTGTTTTCATGTTTATAGTCCCAGTGAAAATCCCTATTACCGTTTGAATTGTTACGTTTGATATATACATTTTTTTCGTACTTGTTAACATTGTTACCTAATTCTGTGTATGATTGCCCATTGTCAACTAAAGTTGTCAAAGGAGACATAGATATTTTTTTTTCTTCAGTTTTTAAAATTTTTTTTTAAAAATACAGAAATGATCTTTGTCTACACACGACGGAAATGCCTCCTATGTCAGAAACGAACCGCTAACAATGTCTGAGAAGCAGTTAAGCTACTACTAAAAACGATGTGACTGATAAACAGTCAAGGGATAAACATGTAGTTCTTCCTCCAAGCATATCTTACACGTACTAGACAACCACACCAGACATAATTATAGAGGAAAGTGTTTTGGTGGAGCTTAAATTTAAGTCGTATTCGAATACGAAAAAGCCTTTGAAAACATTGATTTGAGATTTCTTGGTGAGGGAAACTAACAGATACATTTTAAACGAGAGCAGGTGTGCGAAAGCAATGCTTTTTGTTGCCCCCTATTTTTTTACACTAACAATTGACTGAATTATGAAGACAACAACGGCTAATATCAGTACTGGAATTAATTGACCCCTATAAAACAGTCCAACAATCTGAATAACGCTGATAATATTTCTCTCCTATCGCAGCCACAAAATCAGATGCGGAATAAAATGAGAACACTTGATAAGAGATCATACGGATCAGGCTTAGAACACCACACACGCACGCACGCATGCACGCGCGCTGGCACGCCCGCCCACACACGCACACATACAAAGACAAATAAATAAAATACACGAGGCAAACCGTAATCTAATTACTTTTGGTCATATCCTACTTCAAGATGAGGAGTTATATATACATGTCAGCAGTAATAAAGATAAGGAGAACCGGAAGAGAGTTTAACATACAAATACAAAAGGACATTTCATAGCACTAGGGCATTTGTGAAAGTCAACGAAATTTAAACTAGTAGTAAACCCCTCTAGATGCTACCTGTGAACCATTCACAATGTTAGAACTTAAATCAGCAATAAGAAAACTAAAGAAGAACAAGGCTACTGGCGCAGATGAAATCTCAGCTGAAATGTTAAAGGCAGCAGACGAAAACACCTTACAATATTTGCTACAGCTGTTCAATGATGTTTGGCTAAATGAATCCCCACCGCAACAGTGGAAAGAAGGTGTTATATTCAAACTGCCCAAAAAAGGTGATTTAGCAGACTGCAACAACTGGCGTGGTATCACCCTACTCTCCGTACCAGGAAAACTGTTCTGCAGCATGCTAATGCAGAGACTGAAAAAGCCAATAGATGCAAGACTCCGAGAAGAACAAGCAGGATTCAGACCGAATCGGTCATGCATCGACCATATATTCACACTCAGGACCATCGTAGAAGAGTCAGTAGTTTCAATCCCAACTCATCATCAACTTTGTTGATTTTCAGAAGGCCTTTGACAGCATACACCGCCCTACACTCTGGAAGCTACTCACAATTTATGGTTTCCAAGATAAATATGTCAATATTATAAAGGCCTTCTACACAACGATTCCCGCTGCCTTGTTAGAACGGAATCTGGTAACTCTGATTGGTTCCCAGTAGAAACAGGCGTGAAACAAGGATGTGTCTTGTCACCGATGCTTTTCGGAATAGCACTCGATTGGGTCATGCGCAAATGCACACAGGACACACATCTAGGCATCAAATGGGTCGACAAAGTTCTCGAAGATCTTGACTTTGCTGACGACCTAGCACTCCTGAGCACAACACATCTAGAAGCTCAGGAAAAAAAATGGACCGCCTCCAGAATATTTCAAGCCAAATCGGCCTTCAGGTCAACGCAGCCAAACGAAAATCATCGATCTTACCAACGAGTCGAAAGACATCAAACTAAAGGATATTTTTCTTGAAAAAATCACCAGCTTCACATACTTAGGGAGCAAGATAACCTCTGCGGGAGATACAACATCAGAAATAACGACTCGAATCGCGTTAGCATCAAGTGCCTTTAACAAACTGTCAAACATTTGGAAGTCAAGATCACTCAGCAACAACACGAAACTTAAGGTCTTCAATTCCTGTGTGATCCCAGTGCTAACTTATGGTTGTGAGAGTTGGAAATCATCAGTATCAATCGATAAGAAACTAGTCGCTTTCGAGAATAGATGCCTCCGAAAGCTATTGAATGTTCACTGGTCGGACTTTAGGTCCAATACATCTATAAGACAGGAAACAAAACAAAAATATGTGTCTGATTTTATTAGAATGCGTCGCTGGAATTACATCGGTCACGTACTCAGAATGGACATACAGAGACTTCCCCACCAAGCCTTCATATGGTCACCAGAGGGTAAAAGAAAACAAGGAAGACCAAAAGAAACTCTCCGTAGAACCATCACAAGGGAGAGCTCAACCATAGGTCTCAGTCGCACTCAAGACCTACATCAAGTGGCAACGAACCGACGGACGTGGAAAGCTATGACCTCTGCCCTATGCGCCATCTTTGGCACAAGAGGAATAACTAACTAACTAAACCTAAAATATTTAACTCTGATGTCAAATAGTACGGCTGTAGGAATCTCAAACACCAAGAACAACTAAAATAAGCACTATTAAACTGCAAACATGCATTTACTGGTGTGTGCACAGAATAGAGGAAATACATACTAGGACACAATCTCTAATGTGGAGCATTTTATGGAGAAATAAATATATTTTGTTGAAACAAAGGGTGAAAAAAAGTAGTTTGCTTTAGATAGGAAACACGTTAAGAAAACATGAGAACAACTGAAAGTCTTTAAACTGGAACCGACAAGAGCTTAGAAATAAAGGCAGAAATTAAAACTTGGAGAAGGGAACTAGAGCGTTTTATAAAAAAAAAAAAAAAAAGGATAGGACATGAGGTCAGCTGCATGCGATAGCAAAGCAAAGCGCGACTTGGAATGAGTTGGCTGAGGCACTATGCTCCGTTGTGAGACTCTGTAATTTACCACACAAGGAGCTATTGCAAACTGATCATCTTGCGGAAGAAGTCAACATATTCAATTAGGCTTATTGTACAAATACTATAATTCATTGAACAACTCATATTGGATAATACAGTGTCATGTGAAATTATACAAAACCACAACATCAGATTAGAACTTGTCTGTGGCTTATTTTTATTTGAAAATTTGTTAGGAAGGCTCATCTTCCCTTAACCATGTACAGAAGCGAACACGCTAAATCCCTAGGGCTTAGCCAATTGACCCCCCCCCCCCCACCACCCACCCACTCAGCTGAGCCCTCCCAATGTTTTCTTGATGTCAGCGCCTCGGTAATAACAGAGCTTGAAACAGTATTGCCTGTTCGTATTTCCTGGAACGAGTGTGGCTGCAATTGGGTCACCACTCCGGGCTAATGATACGTACCGTTTTTATTCTGACAGTCCTGTGGTTTTGGTGTGTTCCCGGCGGTCCCCTGAGCACTCTCCAGAAACATTGTAGGAATAAGATGGAGAATTTAATATGCATATATGCATAGACACATGTACAAACTAAAAGGAAATACTAGAGAAGAATATTCTAATAATAATTCATTAGTATAGCTACATAGTTGCTAGACTTATATAATCTGGAGGGGCCATGATTAGGCAGGGATTCTGAGGCTTTTAGCATAAGGTTAATATTCAGTACAGCTTATTTGAAACAACAGTTTAAAAACTTCAGATAGACGGTATATATACGGGCTTCACTAAGCTTTACTTCTCGGTCACGCAGTCGAGTTAGCGTCAGAGATGATAATGAGGGTTTTCTCTGTGACCCCGCCCCTGGATCCAAAGAGGCATGCCAAACCATTGCATTTTTTAACTGCCGCAAAGTACACATACCCACCCCTGGTTAACACCGGCTGGTCAAGTTATCGAGTGCAAATTACTACTGTGTGTCATTTTCCAAGTGCTTAACATTCGGCTGTTGAGTTCAAATGCATGGGATTTTCATTCGCATCAATCCCGAATCCTTCTCTCTCTTCTCTCCCCCCCCCCCCCCCCCCCCCCCCCCCCCCCACAACAGTCTGCAGTAAGCACCTGACTTCGGTGTTCGGGGGATCGGCTACTTGCACACACCAGATCCCTTCCACCATTCCAAACATCCAAAACCGGACCGCAATACGAAACATAACGTCTAGTCTCATTGACAGGCTTCATCAACATCACTAATATGTACTTAACCTGCTATTATCACAGGAAGACATAAGATCGCTTTGATAATACGCGAATTATTTTTTACTCTTTCGGATCTCTCCAAACCCCAAAACTGTTTTCAGCACTTTTGGCAAAGTAAGACACTCATCATTTTAAAATTATAAATTGTGGTCCAAATTGACGTTATCTGAGAAAGACCCATGTTGAGTGTTTCCCGACATAAAGATCCCTGTTGAGTGTTCCCTCACACAGAGACCCCATGTTGTTATTTTCACAACATAAAGACCCCTGGCTGTGTGTTTCATTACATTAAACTCATGCTGTATGCTTCGTGGTATAAAGAACCATGTTTTGTGTTCCATGAAAAAAAGAACTATGTTTTGTGTTTCATGATATTAAGAACCATGTTTTGTGTTACATGAAATAAAGAGCCATGTTTTGTGTTGCTTGGTATAAATGAAAATGTTGTGATCCATGATATAAAGAACCATATTTTGTGTTACATGACATAAAGAACCATGTTTTGTGTTACATGACATAAAGAACTATGTTTTGTGTTACATGATATAAAGAACCATGTTTTGTGTTACATGATATAAAGAACCATATTTTGTGTTACATGACATAAAGAACTATGTTTTGTGTTACATGACATAAAGAACCATGTTTTGTGTTACATGATATAAAGAACCATATTTTGTGTTACATGACATAAAGAACTATGTTTTGTGTTACATGACATAAAGAACTATGTTTTGTGTTACATGACATACAGAACTATGTTTTGTGTTACATGACATAAAGAACCATGTTTTGTGTTACATGACATAAAGAACCATATTTTGTGTTGCTTGGTAAAAATGAGAATGTTGTGTGATCCATGATATAAAGAACTATGTTTTGTGTTACATGACATAAAGAACCATGTTTTGTGTTACATGATATAAAGAACCATGTTTTGTGTTACATGACATAAAGAACTATGTTTTTTTTACATGATATAAAGAACTATGTTTTGTGTTACATGACATAAAGAACCATATTTTGTGTTACATGACATAAAGAACCATGTTTTGTGTTTCATGACATAAAGAACCATATTTTGTGTTACATGACATAAAGAACCATATTTTGTGTTACATGACATAAAGAACCATATTTTGTGTTACATGACATAAAGAACCATATTTTGTGTCCCATGATATAAAGAACCATGTTTTGTGTTACATGACATAAAGAACTATGTTTTGTGTTACATGACATAAAGAACCATATTTTGTGTTGCCTGGTATAAATAAAAATGTTGTGTGATCCATCATATAAAACTAATGTTGTGTAGCCCCAAGACGTAAATACTAACGACATAAAGAAACACTGATGCATCGCATAGAACTGAACAGACTTGCCTTGTGTGCTTCTGCAGGAACCCCAACCGTGGGCCCGGAGAAATGGAGATTCAAGAGTGGCCCAAGTTCCGACACAACGAGCAGCTCTTCCTGGATATCAATCTAGACTTGCTTGGCAACGGCAACAAATGGGGTAAAGGGGTCAGGCCTGAACACTGCGCCTTTTGGGAGCATTACGTATCCAACATTGCTCAGATGAGTAGGTTAAATACTGTTCATTGATCATTTAAAGATCACCTTCATCGCACATTATACATGACCAAATGTGCTCCGATCTCCTCCTGTCTCTAAGTGTATTTAGGCTAACAACCCACATACTGTTCTGGTTGATGTTACACCGTGTAACTTTCACATGGTTTGCCTGTCTCGCAGCTCTTATTGGTACACCCAGTTAGCGAGATGAGTACCTTTTTAAAAAAAAATTAAAAACACCATTCAGGCATTACAAAGTTAAATAGGTTATTCAGTGTTTACACATTAATCATTTTTGTTCTCCTTATTGGGTCCCACTACTCATGCACTAAACGTTGCAGAGAGGATTTAGATGAAGTTTACCGTCTTGTTTGCTGTTTGCGTAGTCTGTGTTTCTATTATATTGCGTTTTTTGAGTGCGTCTGTTATTCCCAACCTTTCTTGGTGAGCCTCTTGCCTTGTAGCCTGCTGTCTTCATGTAGTACTCTCTAGCTGCTGGCTTTGTGACCAGGCCCTTTGATTTTTTTCTTTAAACCGGTACTGTGTCTGGTGACTGTCTTCTCGATTTTCCGCCGCATTTCTAATAAATCGAAAGTCGCCGTGGCGGATCAGAAGGTCGTGGTTTCGCTCCAAGGGAAAGCTGGACCTTTTTTTCTGTAAAAAAAGGCCCTGACTCCCAGATCGACCCAGCCTTGCGTGGGTACCGGGTGCAGTCCTGGGAAATTAGGGCGGCCGGTTGATGCTGACCACATCACCCATCTTGTGCCAATTGGTATGTAAAAATAAAGGTCTAGCACCTCAAAAGTAGCATTACTTTGAATTCTTTGTTGTTGGCTTTGTTTTCTGTTTTCTAGTTCTCTCTCCAGTCCTCCATCCTCAATGATTACACTGCCTAGGCACTTAAATGAAGCCCCACCCTATCTTTTGCCGAGGCCCCTAAATATAGCCGGGCCATAAATATGGCCTAACGGCTGAACGCTGTTTCCGGGACCTCTCCACGGGTGATCCCAATCCGCATGGTGGCCCTTTGTGTCACCTGATGTTTTATCGCTTGTGTGATATGCGGGTACAACCTAGCTACCAACTTAAAACTTGTTAGCTTTTCTTAATGCCTATTTTTCAACAGTGATGAAATGTTAAACTTGTCGATTCCTTATGATTGTTTAAAAAGACCACATCGCAACACTCGGGACACTCAGCAGCGAGCGAAGAGTTCAAATTCTAATGGTACTGGTAACTGATTGTACATCCGTCAAGCCGTTCCCTTGAGCGTTAAGGCTCGTCCAGATCACCAAGTAATTCCCCATAGCACCATTCTCCTCAGACCGTAATGATCTGTTTGTGCCACCGCATTTTTCAATCGCTCCGAAAGGGTCCTCATAACATCCAGTTTGTCATAAATCAGTTTACCACCAAGTGATGCAGAACCAGCTAGTCTGTCTGCCTGCTCGTTTTCTAAAACACCAGTATGCCCTGGAGAAAATATCCAAATCCAAAAGACGCTAACTAGCCTGTACCTCTGAAGCGATGTTTGCCTGTTTGCACGGAGCATGCATGTCATCAACTTTATCAACACGCTCAGGTGTTGAGGGTGTTTGTGTGGTTTCGGAGGTGAGTTGTAAACCCTTTGGCTCGGTACTATGGATATCGCAACCTTCGGCCTTGAATCCATTATTAGGTTAGGTTAGTTGCGTATTCTTTACAATACGTTGCAGAACCAACCCCAGAAGCCCCTGGCTGTTGTGTGGTTTTTCTAGGCAAATTTACGTCCAGTAGATTACTATTGCCTCTGGACGGTCGGCTTTCTTGATACCACTCTCGAAACCAACGCAAGGCGCATATCCCGCACCTGGGATCGAACCCGGCACCCTGGCATTACGAAGCGTTCGCATCGACTTAGCCACAGAGCCGACGATTTTATTATAGGTACCGTTGATCTGAGAGGAACGAGGCTTTTCTGCCTACGCCCGGAGTGAGCCCGGACCACAAAAAGTCCGTCACCCGGCCGCCGCGAAAGTCAGGTTTAACCAACTACGCTAGAGAGCCGGGCTGGAGGTTATAAAATAAATCATTTATTGCCTGTCAGTAATACAACCCCCCCCCCCCCCACCCACATCCATCCATAAATGAAGCCTATAACATAATCTGTGTCATGTTCTACCTTTCAGCGCCATCTTACGTCAACGTCAACTGTAGCCGAGCGTCTGCGTCCACTTCTGGCACATTCAGTGGATCACGAGTCTGGCCCAAGCACTGCTTACAACTTGTAGTGAACACATACCTGGTGTTGTTGCTTGCGTTCTTTAGACATTGACAATAGCAGTTAGCGATACCAGTGAGTGTAATATAGCAATGTAAAATTTCAAGACAGGATAGTGGTCCTCTTCTTCCTAGTGGTATTGTATTGTTGTAATATACTTCATGAGACATGATGAGTTGTCAGAAGTAATATAAACATGCACAGTCTGCGATGGGATTTTTTGGCTGCTGTGCAAATTTTGTTCAGTATTTGCATAAACATGAAAACAGTTATGAATTTGGTTGTCTTCGAACACTTCGAGCACGTCCAGAGGTTCTGTGTGCTCCACCTCCTGCCCCCAACATACACATCAGCGCCTGGCGGTTAAATGAGATAGGTTGACAGGTCTTTCGGTATGTCCACTGTGCCGTAAATGCCAGTTTTGACTCTCAGTTCTGGCATTCATAACAGCGATGTGGGAGCTCGGCCTCTCAAAAAGTATTCTGGAGGTATGTAATTCAAAGATGGATATGCCATCAGGCGGGCTAATCAGTTGAAGATTTTAAACTGGATACCCCACTGCAGTTAAAGATAATCTTTTTTAAGCAAGAGAAAGAAGAAGAAGAAGAAGAAGAAGAAGAAGAAGAAGAAGAAGAAGAAGAAGAAGAAGAAGAAGAAGAAGAAGAAGAAGAAGAAGAAGAAGAAGAAAATGAATAATAAAAATAATAATAAAAATAAGAAGAAGAATAAGAAGAAAAAAGAAATAAATAATAACAATAATCATCATAATAATAATCATAATTAAAAAAAGAAGAAGAAGAAGAAGAAGAAGAAGAAATAGAAAGAAAGGAAGAAGAAGAAGAAGAAGAAGAAGAAAAAGAAGAAGAAGAAGAAGAAGAAGAGGAAGAGGAAGAGGAAGAAGAAGAAGAAGAAGAAGAAGAAGAAGAAGAAGAAGAAGAAGAAGAAGAAGAAGAAGAAGAAGAAGAAGAAGAAGAAGAAGAAGAAGAAGAAGAAGAAGAAGAAGAAGAAGAAGAAGAAGAAGAAGAAGAAGAAAATGATGATGTTGTAGTAGAAAAAGAAGCAGAAAAGACAAGGACTATTTTACTGTCAACAAAGTGTCGCTGAAGACAAACTTTTTTCACTAAATAAAAACAAATTACATATTCTTACCGAATGACAAGTGTGGCCATACTAAGCTTAAAGAACGGAGAAGACCACACAGAAAAATGGAGCTAGGGCATGAAGAACTAACTATCTTAGAGATACGAAACTCAGCTTATAGCTTTTTAGGGCGAGTGCATTGAAGGTCCTTATAGCTTATTATGAGAAGTGCATTGAAGGTCCTTATAGCTTATTATGAGAAGTGCATTGAAGGTCCTTATAGCTTATTATGAGAAGTGCATTGAAGGTCCTTATAGCTTATTATGAGAAGTGCATTGAAGGTCCTTATAGCTTATTATGAGAAGTGCATTGAAGGTCCTTATAGCATCTGTAGCAGCAGAAGGCGTTCTGGAAGTAGCATTACTATTCCAGAGTAGTATATAATTGTAACGTAATTTTAGGTTACTACTAACGTTTTTCTCTGAATTAGTAACACGTGTGTTTGCCTTGTTATAATTACTTGTTATAATCTTATGATAGGTAAACCATTTTTAAAATGTTAATAGTTTACTAATGAGAAACAAAATTATTACAAACTGTAAACTCGAAAAAAAAAAAAAAAAAAGTTGATCTCACATTTTCTGCAGTTGACGTATCAATAACTGCCACTGATGTACGAAGATCTAGATTGGACAAATAAAACAACACTGCTGCAAACTACTGAACGTGAAGCCCGTCTCTCTAGCGTAGTTGGCTAAACCAGATTGCGTGGTGAGCGGATGACGAACTCCTTGTGGTCCGGGTTCACTCCCGGGGGTGGGCAGGAAAGCCATATTTCTCTCAGATTTACGGTATTTAAAATGGAATCAAGGCCGAAAGGTTGCGATATCCATAATACCGAGCCTAAGGGTTAACAACTCATGGCTTCTGGATACTAAAACAAACAAACTGAACGTAAAACACAAGTGGCTAACAATTGCTGGATTAGATTTGTCACGCCCTGTAATGGATATGCTGCAATATGTTTTTTATTGAGCTGTCGGGTCAGTTGAGAGCAAAGAGCACGACAGTCCGCAGGCAGTGAAGTGCGACTCTCCTGGCTGTTTTACCTAAGATGTTCTTCCCTTGTTCTTTTAGCCAATTAAAACAAATAACAACTTATTCTGTCAATCAATTCAACGCTGATAACATTGTGAAAATCAAGGCAGAGCGTCTGCCATAACATCGGTGCAACTGGCTTCGAAACATCTAGGAGATCAAAATTAAATATGTTGCAGGGGACTGTGATTGTTGTACTTTTGAACTACTGATCCACGTGATATTTGTGTCTGTTCCGATTACAGATGTGATACTTTTACTATTGTGCATTTATTTGTTCTGTCAACATATTATGAAGAAAAAAAAATGTATTTGCAAAATGTAGAATGAATGAGATAGTTAATAATTGTTTCATACCTAAATTATTGTCTACTTACTAGATTTCAACCACTGGATTGATGTGTATGTATTATATAGATAATAATTTTCTCTCCTGATTTTCACTCAGCCAGCACATGCAGTTTTAAGCAGGCTGTCGTTGCTGTTATTGGTGATATCACTTTTTCGTGAGCATTGACCGTGGCACCCAGGATTTCTACTGTTGGTCTGCCGTCCAGACAGAGATGTTATCAT